TTCAATAATAAAATAAAAATAATAACACGATTATTATATATTGTATATTTAAAATAATTTTAATTCATAATATAATTGATAATATAAATGCAAAATAAGTATCATCATTTTATTTATATTGAAAATTACAAATCAGTTATAAATACAGTGAACTCCAAATAATTTTTATCGCACATCATTACAAATACTTCATAACTATTAACAAAAGTATTTAAATTATCTTTTAATAAGTAATTTATAATAATAATAAATTATATGGTTTATATCACTAGTATTTGGAGTAAATAAATATAAATAATATTCAATAACTCATAAAATTAATAAATACTAGAATATATCAATAAAATTTTTGGTAAAAATGAAAAAAAAAACATAAATAAAATATGAAGAGAATATCAGCCAGACTTGAAGAAAATTTATTTCTTTTTATTTTTATTACTTATTGTAATAACAATTTAATATCCAAAAACATAAACAACTCAGTAACCAAAGTTGTTACTAAAATTATTGATACGTGTCATGACAGATAATATTTTCATTAATCATCGAATAAATTTAAAAAATAATAAACATATTAAATGGTATGCATTGATAAGTTAAACAAATTTATTTTGATTATAAAATTATGAACAACAATTAAATACTTTTATTCTTTAGACAAGCACTTCTTTTATATTAACTCGATGTTGATAATTAAATTATTATTGGTTGTCTCAAAAATTCTCAATCACTTCAACTATAACGAAAGAATAGATGTTATTATTCTTAATTCAAATAATAGTAATTTTATAGAATAAAGTAGCGGGGATGAAATAATAAGAAACTATTTCAATTAGTCTTCGATAACTGGTGTATTTAATCCAGATTCCCATAATTGTTTTGATGTTGCTGTTGCATCACATAACTTTTTTATTCTATTTGCGTTGTAATACTTCTTCACAAACAAAACTCTCACTTTTTCAACTTCTTTTTCTAATTCTTTTTTATTCTTCCATTGCTGGTAAATTTCTTGCATATTTGTTGAATAAATTCCAAGAATTATAATTGAAGTGTTCATACAACAAGTTGTATATGAAGTAATTCCTTCTCTATTGATAAATTCAATAGTCTTTTTAAAAAAAGTTGGTATAGCATTTCTTATACTAGCTTCTGTTTTATCCTTTATTTTTTGTTCAGTTCCCAATTCAATTTTATCAACAATAATGTTTAATATTAAATTTCTAAAGAAAACACTAGTTTCTACACAATAATTGGAGCATTTATCGAAAAGTGTTTCAAGTGGAAATTGGATATTAGAAATAAGAGTGAGTGTGTTTGTTGAACTTCTTCTAATAAGTACACCAAGAAGATCATAAATAATATGAGAAGCTTTTATTTCTATAGACTTGTCCATAATCATACTAACTAATATTCCAATCAATCCTCTTTCTGTTCCAATAACTTCTCTTTGTTTTACATTACAACCTCTTGAAATAATTTCAATTGAAGTAATTAAAGGAATAAGAAAAGAATGGTCTATTTCATCGTTTCCTATGTCACTGATCATTGAATTAATCATTTCACTGCCATTCCCTTTTCCAACTAATAATTTTGATGAAAGTACTGATACAAATCTAAGAAATTGAGAAAATAATGAATGAAAGACATTCTCAGATGATCCAGAATAATTTGGAGGTAAAGTCTCGACATCAATAGACTCATATAGTCCATAAACAACATCATCAATTCTAATATTTTTCATAGTCATAAGTTGTGATTCATCATCTAACTTATCTATAATTGATGATAATACAAAAAGAATATTTGAAACAATATCAGCTGCATAAGTACCTTGAATATCTTTAAATATAATATCAATGTCTGGATATGTTTCAATTTCTAATGGACAATGTTCATTAAATGAAGAAATAAGTTGATCATCTTCATCAATGCAACCATTTTGAAGGAGATAAATAATCGCAAGATCAAGTGTAGATAATGAAAGTAATGAAATAACTTTTTGGATGAACCCATGTTCAACAAAACAATGTATATTCTTTTCAATAACATGTTCATCTTCTGAACTAGTATGAATAAGATAATTCATCACTGATAAAAATACTCCTAAATGAAGATAAGATTTGTTTAATGAATCAAAGAGAAATGGAAGAATAGTTATATCAATAACATCACTTCTTTTGTCAAGAAGAGTTTCTAATAAAACAGAAGTATTAACGAATAATTCATCAAATTTTAATAATTCAAAAATATTATAAATAAATCTTTCATCTTCTACCATTTGATCATTAAAATGACCTGTTTTCACAAAAAAGTTTAAAAGAATGAGAAAATTACGTTTAACACCAAACAATTCATTTTTATCATTAAATAATACCATTTTTATTGGTTGAAATACTAACCCGAATATTGAAAAAAGACGATCAAGTGTTTTATTTCCAATAATGCAATATTCACAAAATTGTTGAGTAATATTTGTTAATTCACTTGAGTCTTCAAAGACACAATAATTAATAATAGCGCTAACGAATTCATGTGAAATATCTGAAGAATCAGATTTACAAATAGCACTTACAATAGGAAGATAATCATTGTTAATTCCATAACTTCTTTCATTTAAGTAAGTTAATACGTTAGCACTAAAAAGCATAATTATATGAAGAGATAAAGTTCTAACAGTTGTTTAAGAATAGAAAACAAGGTATAATTCATAAACTAAACCAAACAAAAAGAAAGAAAGAAACAAAAGAATTGATGGAGAAAAAAAAAAGAAACAAAACTAAATCTTTTAGGATAAATTATGTTATTAAAAGCAAAAAAAGTAAATTATTGTTATTCAATATCACTAGAACCAGAACGAGGGGTATTGACTATAGTTTCATCAACAATATCTTCAGGTAATTGTTTGTATTGAGCAATGTCATCTTGTTCAACAAGAATAGTTTTTGCTTTGTCCCAAACTAAAACAAATTAATATTAAATTCAATGAATTTCATTTTAAAAAGAAACAAAAACAAACTTGGACGAGTTGGTTTTGGAATATAAAAAATGGATAATAACCAAATAAACAAATTACCATATGATAAAGTTGATAAATAAGTTGTGGCACTATTTTCAAATCCAAGGAAAAAAGCAACAACAAGAAGAAGAACAAATATAATAACTGACGTTATAACCAATATTCCAAAAGTATAAATTCTTTTTGTATTACCAACTCTTTTAGCTTCACTAAAGGAACGAATAACAGAAAAACATAACCAAATAAAATAAATAACAGCAAAAATAATGTCAGCAACACAAAAAACAATATTTGGAATATCTTTTAAAGGTTTGTAATTAATATCAGTTATAGAATAAGTTGTATTATAAAGTAATGTAATTAATATAACTAACATAAATGCACAAAAGAACAGTATTCTTCCAATCCAAAAATTAATATTTTTTCTCCAAGATATTGGTTTACGTAATGCTTCAAATATAACAAGAACATAAAACACAACAAACACACAAAATATAGAACTGATAATAATTTTCCAAAAAACAAACAGTGTAGAAGCAAATACATATTCATAAGTAAAAAATGGGTTATTAAATAAAATTAATACAAACAATAATAAAAATGTTAATTTGTTTTCAACAGGCCAATTTCTATAAACATATTTTCTACTAACAAAAGTAAAAAGTCCCATAACAATACAAGATAATATAATAAACACAAATCTCCATCCAATTTCATAAAAATTATATTTATGATTAACAGTTCTTAATGATAAGATTAAATCTCCTAATTGATTTGAGTCAAATGTAGTGTGGCTAATACTCATTGTTATATTATAATATTCATATACTAATAATTTGTATTTAAAAAATGTAAATTTATTACAACTATAATCATCTTTCTTACAATCAAATCTTATATCTATTGGATATTGCTCAACTAATTTTTCACTTTTTCCCATTGTATCTATTCCATTAATATCAATTAAAAAGTCTATCTCTCCTCCAATATATTGGTCTGTTTTTAAGTTTTTAAAAAGTCCTTCTAATCTAAATTCTTCATTAAGTAAAGTAAATGGTCCTACTTGAATATCTAATGATTTTGTTTCCATTAAATTAACTCCATCACAACACTCTTTATGATATAATGTATCTTCAGTACAATGACATTTCCAAACTGATGCTTCATTTGTTTTATATGGAACTGGTACAAAAACACTAATAACAAAACAACCAACTGCTAATAACAAAAAAACAAGAAATCCAGCTGAAATAAACGTAATATTAATAACTTGAAGTAATGGTACAATTTCTTTTTTATTTGTATTTACCTCTGTTGTATTTCTTAATGTATTTTCCATATTTTGATTTTCTGTTTGAAGCGTTTGAGTATCAACTTGAGGAACAATTGGTTGTTCTTTCATTTCAATTTGTGTGTCATGATTAGACATTCTTTCTTTTTCGTTTTGAGTTGTATTATCAATTTTTTTATTTTTCGTTAATCTTAAAATGTATTATTTCTTAGATTGATAAATGAAAAGATGATAATAAAAGTTACAACTTTAACTAATAATTAGAAGGAAAGATTAATGAGCTTAAGTGGAATACTCAAAGGAATAGAAAGAAAACAATTTCAAATTAAAATACATCTCGGACTTGAAAATAAAACTAAAGACAATGAACTTTCTTTTTTAAAAGAACAACTCTTTTTAAAAGAAAAAAAGTGTCGCCACTTCTTAGCTAAAGTAAGAAAAATTTGTCAATACTATTTCTGTGAAAATAAACAAACAGAAAAAATTTTTTGTTCTTTAAGAAAAATTTATGTTGAAGGGAAAAATGACGTTAATTCTTTAACTAATACATTAAACTCTCTTCAGAAAACATTTCAATTAAACAAAAAAGAAATAACAAAAATGGAAAAAAGAGTAATGAATGAGGTTATAACACCTCTAAAAGAATATTTAAAACAATTTAAAATGATAGATAAAAAAATACAAGAATGTCACAAAAGAAGAATAGATATGGATCGTATTAAAGAAAATGAACAACAAACTAATGTTATGACAAAGTTAGAAGATTCCAAAAATAAATACGAAAAACTTAGGGATGAATTAGTATTTGATTTAAATCAATTATTAAACAATATAGATAATTCTGTTGAACAGCTGACCAGGATTATGACTACAATTTTTGCAGACTTTTATTCAAAACAATACTTCAATTTTAGTATATTTAATAACCAAATAAATTACCAAATATTCAACCCAAGTCAACTTATTCCAGAAGACAAAGAGTCTATGACTCATTCAAATAATATGTATACTTCAATTAGTAATAATTCTTCTCCAGAAAATAGACAAGTAAGAAAGAGATCTTCTTTTTGTGGAAGACAAGTTGCTATCTATCCTTCTACATACTCCCAACAATTCAAAAACTATGGAAATTGGTCTAGTTTAGATTGTTTTCATACAGACCAAATAAACCAACAACTTAAAAAACCAATACCTCCTTGTCCTTCTAAAAAATTATTTCCATTGATTCAATACCAACCTCCCAATTCATCTAAAGTTCTTTGTTTATTTGACTATTATTCTACTGATATTCTTGAGTTATCATTTAAAAGAGGAGATATGATTGATTTACTAAGGAAAGATGGGTTGTGGTGGTTTGGTGAATTAAATGGAATAAAAGGATATTTCCCTTCCAACTATGTTCAGATAATTAATTAGGGTGAAAGAAAAATAATAGTAAATACAATAGAAATAAATAACAAAGACAAAAATAAACGAATGAATTGTTTCATTAAAGGGAAACTACATCATCACTTTGTTCTATTGAATGATTTTCTTTCTTTTCTTCAATATTATCTTCTTTGTTTTCTTCTTCCATTTTCTTTTCATTCACTCGTTCTTTTCTTTTATAAGAAACTTTATTTTCTTCATCAACTTCTTCTTCTTCAAGAACTTTTCTTTTTCTTTCTTTCTTTTCTTTTCTATCTTCTTTCTTTTTCTTTTCTGTTGTATTTTCTTCAACATCTTTTAATCTTTCTTCAATCCTTTTACCAATCATTTCTTGTTCTTTCTTTGTTTTTTCAATTATCATTTTCTTCTCTTCCATTCTTCGTTGTTGTTCTTTTTCTTCTTCTTCTTTTTTTCTCTGATTTTCTTCTTCAATTTTCCTTTTCCTTTGTTCTTCATGTTCTTTAATGAGTCTTTGTTTTTCTTCTTGGTCTTTTCTTGCTTGTTCAATTAAATTTTTCCAATTCTCTTCAAATGTTTTCATTTTATACTTTAAATTATTAAATTGTTGTAAATAACCAATAACACTTTGTCTTAATTGTTCATTTTCTTCTTTATATAACTTCTTCTTTTGTTTTTGTTCTTCTAAATAACAAGAAGCAACTAATTGATAGTTATATACAATTTGTGAAACTGGCTCAATTTTTAATGCTCTTTCAAGGTGTTCTAATGCCTCTTTATATCTATTTAACATAAACTCACATTGAGCTAATCCATTTAATACTTCTACTTGTTCACCATATTGATTAAGTGTACTTTCAAATATAGATTTAGCCATCTGAATATTATGAGCATTATAATAACATGTTCCCATAGAAAACATAACTTCATAAGATGGACAAACATCATTTACTCTTTGAAGACTTTCTATTATAACATTAAATGGAATTGGATTAGATGAATTATCTTTTCTTTCAGCAGTAGTTAAAGCTAAACCTCCTAAAGCTAATACATTAGTTGGGTCAGCATTAAGAATTTTTCCATATAATTTAACAGCTTCAAGTTGTTGTTTAGGGTCTTGTCTACCATACTTCGCCATTACTCTTGCAAGAGCTAAGAAAGCATATAGATTTGTTCTATTATGATTTGTTACTGAATTAAATATTTTAAAAGCGTCATCAATTTTACCTTGTTGACATAACATTTCTCCCAATAATAATTTAGCATCTTCACAATTAGGAAAATTAATAATTGTTTGAACTAATTCTTGTGATGCTAAATTATATTGTTTTTCATCCCATAAATGATAACATCTTCTGATTCTTGCATCAAAATACCATGGACTTTCTTTAATAATTTCCTGATAACATTTATTTGCTTCATCCCATAATTTCATTTCTTCTAATACTCTTCCTTTATTAAAAAGAAGTGTTGTCCTTAATTCACTACCTTTATCCATATTTAATGCTTTTTCAAAACATTCTTTACTTTTAATTAATTCTTGAATAAAATAATAGCAACACCCCATATTATTAAGTACTTCTACAGTACTATTAATTTCATTAATTCTTTGATAATGTTCTAACGCTTTTTTTGGTTGTTTTTCTTCTAACAAAGAAGAAACAATTAATTCAATTGTATAATCAACTTTAAAAACAGAAGCTTTTTCCAAATATTCAATCGTTTCATTAATTTTATTAAGTTTTAATTCAGTAAATCCAAGTAATTTTAAAACATCAAAATCACCGCCGTTATATTTTAAACAATTCATTAAAATCTTTTCTACTTGAATATAATTTTTTTCTCTAAATAAAACTTGTGCCATTCTATAATGTAATGCAGGGAACATACATTTAGTATCAGACAAATAACCAATATTATATTCTTCTTTTGCTTTTACAAAATCTTGTTTTTGATGTGCAATTCTTCCTAAAGTAAAATGTCCATAAATCTTTTCTTGCTCATTTCCATAATTTATTGCAATATTTGCAAATTCTGAAACTACTTTATAATTATTACATTTCATTGCTGCTTCACAAAGTACTATTGCTGCTGGTGCACATTTATTATCAATCATTAATGCTCTATTAGCTAATTCTAATGCTCTTTTAACTGTTTGTGGAGTTCTAATATCCCAATATATTCTTGAAAGATTAATTAATGCATCCATACAAATATTATCAAGAACCAATGCACTTTCATAACATCGAATTGCTAATTTAATTTCTTTTTGAGAATAATATATTCTACCAATACCACATCTAATACTTACATTTGTTGGTTGTTTTTTAAGTGCTTGAATAAAATAAGATAATGCAACTCCATCTTTATGATCTTTTAATTCACATAATGCAAGACCAATTAATGCTGGTGCATAATTTTTATTTATTTCTAATGCACGTTTAAAGTAATCTTTACATGGTTTTTTAGAATAAAATGCATTAAATCCATAAATACATTCAGCAAATTCATTATCTCCAAATCGTTTTGATTTCTCAAGATATTCATGACATATTTTGTTATTTTGTTCATTTCCTGTATACGCATTTAATGATGCAATTATTATATAAAAATGTCGTTCTATTGTTTGACTTAATTGTGATAATGAACTATTTGTCATTATTTCTAAAAGAAATTTTTGTGCTTCTTCTCTTCTTTGTTCTCTAACTAATGAAGCAACAACCTGAAATGTAGCAATCGGATCTTTTTGAAAATATGATTTTAATTTATGAAACTGAATAGTAATTGGTCGTGGAATTATTACGTACCGTGTTGGATCAATCATTAATTTGATTGGTTCAGGTGCAAATAAGGATACCAACTCACTCATCTTCAATTGGTTTTTGTTATTCTTTTTTTAGTTCTTTTTTAATTTTTATATCAAAAAACTTCTAAGGTTTTTTCTTTTATCTCTTGTTTTTAAAATAATATTAATATACATTTTCTTTTTTGTAGGTTTAATACTTTAATATATTCTACAATGTCATTAAATAATTTTTAATTTATGCCGTGATTAATAACATATTTCAATTAATAAATACTGTATTATAATATTGAGTTTACTTCGTAACAAAAGGATGTTCAAATTATTTTGTTTTTATTAATCTTCTTCTGTTAAAAGAAATATTTTTTTT